CTTCTGCAGAGCCTGATGAGCTGCTGCACAGGTGACTCAACCACTGAATCTAGTGTGTTGGACCAGAGAAACCACTAAAACGTGCCATAGAGATATGTTGATCCTATGGCCCATTCCCATCTGTACCTGGTCGGCCCTGCCCGGATAGCTCCAGTCGGCCCCAGCCTGGCCCGGTTGATTCCACACATCCTTGCTTAGGTATGCAAGGAATGCCATCAGAGACATTTTCAGCTTCTAGGTAATCAGCATGATAATGAATGACAATGAATTGAGCATGCCTTAAGCTTGGTTCATGCTTGACGCATTCACTTTCCGCTTGGTGATGCGGCTCGCGGATGGAACGCGCTTCACAACTTGCAGCGTTTATGGTTCTTGCGGCTCGTCTCTGCGGTGAGGCAATATTCTCCCAAACAGAACGGGGCAGCATGGAGCTCTATGGCATGCATCCAACACTACACCATAGTAGAAGTAAAAATTACTGTTGTTTACAACATGGCATTCCAGCATTTTTTAACAGCGTCCTCGTCTTTTCTGACAGTGCGAGCTATTTCTCTCCAAGAATTATTAACAACATGTTGGTCACGTTGATCTCTGAGAGCTGAATCATACAAATGTCTGTATTTATGAACCTCTGCCATACTAGTTCTTGCCAGTCCGCCATGTTTTTTTGCGTCCGACCGTCCGCGTGGTTAGAAAATTTCCTAGGTGCGCGGTGCGGAAAGTTTGGGCCATGCGGAGGCGCGGTGGAGGGGCGTGGTTGTTAAAATGACGCAATTTCGCCACGTGGTGGGGCGTGGTTGTTAAAATGACGCAATTTCGCCACGTGGTGGGGCGTGGTTGTTAAAATGACGCAATTTCGCCACGTGGTGGGGTGTGGTTGTTAAAATGACGCAATTTCGCCACGCGGAGCCGTGCAGACCTCGCGGACGCGTCAAGCATAAACCAACCTTTAAGCCCATGTGGGCTGATTCTACCCACCAATCAGTGGCTTGCTCTAATGAAAGGTGTGAACTTGCAGACTGATAAGCCGGCTTATCAGTCAGCAGTGGGTGTGTTGGCCCTGGTCAGCCTGAAGCAGACCACCTCAGAAAGAGGGCTGAAAAACAGTCTTGTTGCACCCTGAAAAAAGGCAGGCCACCAAGATATGTAAGCATGCTATGCTATCCGGGCCGGGCCGACCAGGTGCAGATGGGAATGGCCCATAAGGTGTGTCCTGTAAACAGCATCATGTGTTTTCAGTTTGGATATAAGCCCATCTAGGATGAAAGATAGTCACAGGGCTGACTCTGGGTGTGTACCACACTGACCATGGACTGCGGAAAGCTAAGAACAGAACGGTCTCAGGACACTAGAAAGCTTATAATTGACCAGCATGGTGAACATAAAGGCTAGAAGATCATATCCAAGCATCTAAATGCGAAAGACAATATCTAAGCAGCTTAAGGCTAAAATACCATCCTTAGGGTTAGAAAAATTTCTCCTAGCATCTACAAGCTAAAAATAATCTCCAATCAGCTAAAGGCTAGAATACAATCGCCAACTAAAAATTGAAAACCATCTCTAAGCAGATGAAGGCTAGAAGACCATGTCCGGAAATGGAAAAGGGTAGAATGCCCTCTCCAGGTTACAGACAAGGTCCTGCCTCAAGTGGAGGAGTTTAAGTATCTCAGGGTCTTGTTCGTGACTGAGGGAAAGCTGGAGCGTGAGATAGATAGGTGGATTGGTGCTGCATCTGCAGTGATGCGGGCGTTGTACCTATCTGTCGTGGTGAACGGAGAGCTGAGTCAGAAGGCAAAGCTCTCGATTTACCGGTCGGTCTACGTTGGGCAGCAGCAGCTCAACAGGTTGAGCGGGTTGTCCAGTAATCGGAAGGTTGCAGGTTCGATCCCGGCTCCAGACAGAGAATTCTGCTGTTGTGTCCTTGGGCAAGACACTTAACCCACCTTGCCTGCTGGTGGTGGTCGGAGGGTCCGGTGGCGCCTGTGCTCGGCAGCCTCGCCTCTGTCAATGCACCCCAGGGCAGCTGTGGCTACATCATAGCTCATCCCCACCAGTGTGTGAATGAGTGTGTGAATGGATGAATGATACACTGTAGTGTAAAGCGCTTTAGAGTCCTTACTCTGAGAGGCGCTATACAAGTGCGGGTCATTTACGTTCCTTCCCTCACCTATGGTCACGAGCTTTGGGTAGTGACCGAAAGAAGGAGATAGTGGATACAAGCTGCTGAAATTAGTTTTCTCCGCAGGGTGGCTGGGCTCTCCCTTAGAGATAGGGTGAGAAGCTCTGTCATCTAGGAGGGGCTTGGAGTCGAACCGCTGCTCCTCCACGCCAAGAGGAGCCAGTTGAAGTGGCTCGGGCATCTGGTCAGGATGCCTCCTGGACGCCACCCTGGTGAGGTTTTCTGGGCATGTCCAACTGGGAGAAGACCCAAAGAAAGACCCAGGACACGCTGGAGGGACTATGTCTCTTGGCTGGCCAGGAAATGCCCGGGGATTCCCTCGAAAGGAGCTTGCCCAAGTGGCTGAGGAGAGAGAAGTCTGGGCCTCTCAGCTTCAGCTGCTGCCCCGTGACCCGATTCTGGATAAGCTGCTGAAAATGGATGGATGGGTGGATGGATGGACTATGTCCAACCTGCTAAATGCTTGTAGACCACATCCAACTAGCTAAATGCTTGTAGACCACGTCCAACCAGCTAAATGCTTGTAGACCACGTCCAACCAGCTAAATGCTTGTAGACCACGTCCAACCAGCTAAATGCTTGTAGACCACGTCCAACCAGCTAAATGCTTGTAGACCACGTCCAACTAGCTAAATGCTTGTAGACCACGTCCAACCAACTAAATGCTTGTAGACCACGTCCAACTAGCTAAATGCTTGTAAACCACGTCCAACTAGCTAAATGCTTGTAGACCACGTCCAACCAACTAAATGCTTGTAGATCACGTCCAACCAGCTAAATGCTTGTAGACCACGTCCAACCAACTAAATGCTTGTAGATCACGTCCAACCAACTAAATGCTTGTAGACCACGTCCAACTAGCTAAATGCTTGTAGACCACGTCCAACCAACTAAATGCTTGTAGATCACGTCCAACCAACTAAATGCTTGTAGACCACGTCCAACTAGCTAAATGCTTGTAAACCACGTCCAACTAGCTAAACGCTTGTAGACCACGTCCAACCAACTAAATGCTTGTAGATCACTTCCAACCAGCTAAATGCTTGTAGACCACGTCCAACCAGCTAAATGCTTGTAGATCACGTCCAACCAGCTAAATGCTTGTAGACCACGTCCAACCAGCTAAATGCTTGTAGACCACGTCCAACCAGCTAAAGGCTTGTAGACCACGTCCAACCAGCTAAAGGCCCTAACCCAATAAAACATTGAGAAGAGAACTAAATGTGGTCAGCCAGGAATTACTAAATAGGTAAAAAGAAATGTAAAGTTACCAAAGAGTCTAAAACAAGAACTAAAGACATTAGAGGTGAACTCCAAGAGAATGTAATAGCAGATCACTCATCTGTCACTGTTTGAGCCTAAGTGGTCTTAATAAAAGGCAATAAGGACACAGCCGATGAAGGCCATTCATAAATATGCCAGACTGGGATTTGTCAAAATGCATGTTGATGAGCCACAAGCCTCCTGGGAGAATGTCCTTTGGACAGATGAGACAAAACTGCAGCTGTCCTGACAAAATCACTGAAACATGGAGGAGGCTCGGTTCTGTCCTGAGGCTGCTTTGCTGCATTTGGACCAGGTAGTCTTGAATCTGTTCAGAATTCAATTAAATCTCAAAACCATGAAGGTATTCTAAAGCAGAATGTGTCAGAAAGCATGTTCTCTTTTATGCGTCCCGCAACAGGATTCATATAAATACGCTAGCGAGAAGGCTGTGTTTCCTTCCCGTTGTCAGCAATTTCCCTGAGGAGGAGGTTGTTTGATTTAATGCCTAGAAACAATAAACCACATGAAGTCTGTTATTTCTAAGCTGAACTAACAAACACATTAGCACAGCACAGAGAGAATGGTGACAGGACTCATTCTCAGAGAAAAATGACAAATATCTTTGTCCTGTGGGGAGCAGATGAGACATGGATTCTGCGGTCCCTCTGGGACTATACCAAACATGTTCAGTTCTAACCTGCTCGTCTCCCTACAGAATGAGATCTTTGCATCTCGTCACCAGGATGTGAACAGTGTGGCCTGTATTGAAGACAAATGCTATGTCCTAACTTTGGCACAGTATTGTCGGTAAGAACAAATTTGATGCTTTAAATTTTTTTGCCTCAGTCATAAATTCCAGTTAAAGTACCAGTAGGGGTTCAAATGCTTGATCTTTGTGCAGATTTTGTGCCTTGGTAAAACGCCATAAGGAGGGAGTCCACGACACTGCTGCTTCCCATGTGGTGCCACCCGTAGTTGCAAACGCCATGCCCACCCACCACTGTGTGCCCGATGACGTCGACCCAGAACTGGTGTTCTTCTGTCGACACGTCTACGACTTCCGATACGGACGCCTACTCAAGAACCTGCAGTAGGATGTGATTTGCTGTGCTGCAGCCAGGCGTCAGATAATGTAATCATTGCATCATCCTTCATATACTTCAATAAGCTACTTGCTACCTAGCGCAAGGGGTCAACAACTTATTTTGCTTTAAAATGTTGTGTTCAAATTCCATTATTCGCTCAAAACTGGTAGGACTTCATGTTTAAGGGTTATCTGGCTGTAAATGGCCTTTTTAATTTAAACAACTGGCTCTGGTGACGTAGCAGCTATGTGAAGCACCCGGGACGTACTCTGCTGTAGAAAACGCAACTGTAGCTCATAGAAATGTGACATTTGTTAGACCTGCAGTTGGTGTTACGTGTGAGTGTCGATGCTGTCTGCCTGACGAATCTCAGACGAGTGTTTCAGCGATTCGCTGTAGTTTACGAAGCATATCGTGGGATTTTTATTCTTTTCTGAAGAGAGAGGAAAATATTTTTGTTTTAACTCATCTCATCTGAATTCCCTGTAATCTGAATATGCTTATTTGACAAATGAGTGTGGCAGTTTTGCCTAAACAAGAGTGCATCCTGGTGTTTTAAGAGAACAAGGCTTTCTGATAGATTTTTTTTTAATAAGAAGCAAAGCCAATGTTTTTTCTGCAGAGTTAATGTGAAGCTAAGAGCAGCTGCGTCAGTGGCTAGCCTAGCTTAAAACTAGTAACAGATTATTTCCAGGTTTAGCACTGAGTTGCAACATCTTGGCTGTATCCAAATCCAGGGGCTGCATCCTCCCGAGTACGCATTTTCAGACAGGTTACGTCACAGAGAAGTGACAAGGCCGTCCAAATTCACGGGATTTTCAGAATGCATCTTGTTTTCCACTAAGTTCAAGGATGAGTGATTTATCCTTACTGCTAAGGGCTATCCCAGGGTTCATTGTGGGCCGAACGGGATATTTTTGTTCTCATAATAATGGCGGCCAAAGCTGGAGAGGATTACCATTTTAAATCTTAGTAAATTAAAATCTGGTGGTGAATCCAAAAGGGTTCAACTGGACTTCTTTAGTTTCCTGAAGACGTTTTGCTTCTCATGTGAGAAGCCTTGTCAATTCTGACTAGAATATAGGAGAGTCAGGCTTATAAACCGTAGCTGTCTTTTGTTTAACAAGCAGAAACTACTCTAAATACCTCTCCTCTCTACCTATTATGCTAAATAACCTATTATGACCTATTATGCTAAATGAATATCTTATATAGGTGTGTCCAAATTCAGGGTTGGCATCCTTCGGACCCAGCCTACGTAGACTGGAAGCAAGTGTCAGTGAATTTGGACAGTTTATCCTTCTGATTTATTCCTGCCCCTACCGCTACGAATGTCCTGTCACCTAGCAACCATGACAACCCCGAAAAGAAGCTACAGAGAGTGAAGCCAGAACTTTTACCTATAGCTTCATTCACCAGCATCCCATTCTGGACTAGCATACCAGCTAGGGATGTTCCGATTGCAGTTTTTTGCTCACGATCCGTCGTTTGATTTTAAGAATCTGCCGATACCGAGTCTCCATCCGATACTTTACAAATGCATTAAGAAAAAAGGAGAACACACTAGAGTTGTCTAATTTTTTTATTCATTAATGTGTTTATTTCTGTATTCATGTCAGATCTTTAGTATATCTGCCATAAAACATCACTCGCTTAGTAAGTGCATTAATAAGAAACGTGTTATTAATATATGTAAAAATAATTTGTCATTTACCATTTGAATTAATAAGACATGTGTTAATATTAAGAATAAATGTAGAAGTAGCCTTGTTGTCACTCATATTTTAAATACTTAAATTTAAAAATGCTCTGTTTGCGGCTGTTTTCAGCGACAGGGATGGCACGGCAGATGACGGTCAGCAGCAGAGTAACTTTATTTTATAAAACACCTGTAGAGCTGCTGCAATGAAAAATGAGAGATAGCGCAGGGTCCGTTTTTTTTTTTTTGTGTGTGTTGAACGCAGCACTACCTTTCCCACCTTGTTAAATGCCCGGTCTGCACACATTCCACATGTTTATTGCACTCCCTTTGCTGTTCATTTAAAAATACATTCTAATTACAGACATTTTCTCTCTCTTGAGGCGACAACTATAATCTGGGTTGGCTAACTGATGCGTATTATGGAGCGTGAATTCCCGGACTTCCTTAAGTTGTGTGACTTACGGTGTTGTTGTCTGTGAAACAAAGAATACTGATGTAGAGGAACTCGTTGAATTTGAAACTAAGCTGTTTTTCCGTTAGAAAACCTCTTATTCGAGATGAATTTTAAAAAGGAATGTTTGTTGTTTTATATGGTTAAATCCGATTTTTCCCCACCGATTCCGATTTCTTGAAAATCACGTGATCAGACCGATGTCTGATCACGTGATCGCATTGCAGCATACCACATTACCGTCACAACATACGCTAGCTAGCTCTGCTTTGATGTACTTGACCTTCAAATCCAGCGGAGAAGGATGCAGCATCTGAATTTGGACACGCCCTTTGTGTAGATTACCTGCTAGCCACAAGGCTAACTACAAAGTGTCTTAAGCCAATTTCAGTCTCAAATATTTCACAACCATTTGTTCAAATGCTATTTTACAACATTTACATGCCAAAAATTTCACGTTTACGTTTTTATTCCAGCAGAATTATCATGAAATTTCTGACAGAAGTTAAACAAGAGCCTTGCTGCTAATTTGCGCTGCAAATGACAAAATTCTGTGTAAATAAATCAATTATTGATCGGATTATTTCCACTAAAACATACTTGAAAAGGTCTTAACCATTCTAGCTCACCCCAGGAATCCAGAATTCTGAGATCAGCACAGCAGACGTGCTTTTATCAGGGATACGTCCACAACAAAGGTCTTCTGGTCCAGCGTCTTTTGCAAATCTGGAAATCCTGTTTGGAAAATGTTGATTTTGGACGAGCTATTACAGACATGCTGTTAAACTCAGAGTCAACATGTTAATATCATATTTATTTTAATATATATCAAATTAAGCCCCTTAAAAATCTGTTCATTATGAAACAATGGATGATATTTTAACTTTTGCGAATGGCGAATGTGTTTTACACAACCAATGCAAAAAAGACCATGTGATTATAAAGTTAGATTACATCCAATTTGTTTTTATTATTATTATTATTATTATTATTATTATTATTATTAATAATAACAAAGTTGGAGTAAAGTTGAATGTCTTTGTAAAACATCAGAAATAACTCATGAATATTTTTCTCTAGATATTTGATTATTTACACACCAACCTGCACTCTGAAAAAGCACAGTTCATTGTTATTACATCTTTTGTTTTAATTCTGAAAACCTTTTCCTCCTGAATCCAGAAAAGTGCTTTGACTCTTGTCTGATAGAAAGTTGTAAATCTTCCTTTCGTGAATCTGTCCCGAGTGTCAGGCGGCATCAGGCAGACAGACGGTCACCACTCAGACTTCCTGCTTCTCCACTGGTGCGCCGGCGAGTGATGATGTAATCAGTGTAGCATTTAGATCTGTGATGATGACTTACTTCAATGTTTGGAGAAAAAACACATGTATTTATTTATGTACTGCAAAAACATAATTTATTTTCAAGAGATAATTTTAAAGAGTAGAGTTTTAGATGAGTGGCTTCCATTCCTACATAGAAACAAACAAATGTGAGTTTCTTTCTTCTTTGCAGCACTGTTGAAAATTCAGAATTATGCGTCATTTTTAATGTTTTCCCCACGTTTGAGTTGCTCGCCCTTTTCCAATCCTTTTAAACATGCGTTGAAACACGATTATTAGTATTTGAAGGATTTGTGTGAGCATTAGCTGCTTAACCTGCAGGACCAAAATGGCTTCTTGCTGCTTCACCTGTCCACCGTTTGAAACGCAGACCCACCTTGTCGTTCGCCCCTGCCCTCGTTCTTGCTGCCTTATTTCCAGCCTTTCATAGAGGAAAATCTATCGATCTTCACCTGGAGGTTAGAAACCTTGTGGGTGTGCTGATCCTGATTCCAACAGTGTTCTGTGTGATGTTAGTAATTGCATTTATTTCTGATTATTTTGTAGTTTAACTGACCAACAAAAAGTGAAAATTACATATTTTTGTTTGAATTTTGTTGTATTTTTGCAGAATGTCACACATGGGTACTGGTCTCATATCAGTACGTGGATAATAAAACATCTACTTGTTAAACATTAAAAAATGATGGAATTTAGCAACAAAAGACAGAAATTGTTCTTAAAATGAGTTTTAATTAAAACTAGTTTGTAGTTTTCTTCTTCGTTTGGCTCCCAATGCTGCTGAAATCTTTTATTTTAGATTCATTTTAGAAAGAAAAAGCTGAGAAGAATTTATCTTACTTTTATTTTATTTTTTTATTACATTTTTTTTAACTTTTTTTTTTTCAAATTAAATGACAGCTGGTTTATCTTAATCCACCTCTCCAATGTAATTTTTTTCCACACAAATAGACTCAGCTAATGAAGTTAATGAAGCAAATTTATTAAAATAGAGATTATTTAAGACAGATTTGGACTTTTTGAACATGTAAATGTGTTCTTATTATATGTTTAAATCTACAAAAGATTAAATACATAGATAAAAATAGTGATGACCAAAAAAAGCAACAAATATTCCAAAAACATAAGATAAATAAGTCATAGATCAGGTTATTTCCACTCACATTTATTATAAACTGTAATTTTAGCATTTCAAGTTTCTGCTTTTGGATTTTTAAGTTAATAAATTTCAAATATGATTTGAATAAAACTAGTTTAGAAATTTCAAAGAATAATTGTATTTATGCTAACCTTCACCAATAAGTCATTTTATTCACTTTATCAGTTTCAAATAATGTTCACAACCAGAGGAGTAGAAATTTATTTATTTATTATTTAATCTTATTTACATACAAAATTATTGACTTATTTTAAATAACTTTATTTTTTCTTTTCAAAAAAGGGCTAAAAAATATTTGACCTTTTTCTCGGCTCATGAAACTGAACAAACTTCAGACAATAAAGTACAGATAATGTACATTACAAAACGTGTCATGACAGATTATGGGTTAAATGTACCAAAACAACAATATTATTATTAATAGGGTTGGGCATTGAGCATCGAGCATCGATTGGAACCGGTTCCAACTGTTCATTTTTCCCGGAATCGCTCGACGTTTTTTATTTCGATTTCTAGTTTGATTCCTAGAATGCCGACGGAAGAGGAATCCGCGGCCGGTCTCCGTGAAAAATAAACGTGATCTGCAAATTGTGATCAATGCTTTCCAGAGCTGATCACACCAGCTGTCTGTGTGCAGCACCGAGTAAAACATGTCATGTCTTCTAAGAATTGGAATCGGGAATCGATAGGAACCGGAATCGAAACGAGGAATTGGAATCGTAATCATTCAAAATCAAACGATGCCCAACCCTAATTTTTAATATTATTAATAATTATTATTATTATTATGTTATTAAGTAGAAAACTACAAATTATCTGGATATTTCACATTCAAATAAACATTTCCATGTGAATCCTTTTATATTTTGGTTTGAATGTCTCTAATTTAAGTTTATTTTTATTTTTTATTTTTTTGAGCAGCAAATACATCAAATTAAAACTAATCTGGCTGATTTAAGACTTGCACACCAGAAATATAATGGCCTTTGAATCATTCAGCACACTAATAGTCTCTAATCAAAGTTTCTGTCTTAAATGGTCCTCCGTGCCTGTTTTTATTAACCGTATTCCAAGAGTTTTCCTAGAGAGGGATAGATTGTCCGTATAGTTTTCCAAATGCCTTTTTTGCTTTTGTTTGAGGATGCTGGTCTGATGTCGAATTGCCACAAAATAATGTTTGCACCAAAAAAAAATTATAAATAAGGAGGCGAAGTTTTGAATTCATTCCCAGGTGTAGAAAAACCTGAACGTTTGTTTTTATGTGAATTACTTTTCCTTCGTATTCTTTGCATGGAAATATCTTGAATATTAGTCACAGAACAGATTATTTGTATGGTTTCAGACGAACTTATGTAACACAAGAAAATATTTAATTGTAATAAATAATATATGAGTTTCAACATTGTTGTTTTTCTTGTGTCCTTTTTTTTCTACAGCTGCAGTAACACAGTCTGACCACAGTGTGGCTCTATCAGACCTGGTTAGAGATCAGAACAGAACAGGCCAGAATTTAGACACCAAAACACATGGTGTTTTCTTCTCCATGCAAAATAATTCAATGCTTTAGGCTTATCAGATGCAAGCAGGTAGAGCTAAAACAGGCGTGTTGGAAAGAAGGTGTGTGCCTATTGATCAGCTGGAACTCATCAGACTTGTTCAACCACAACAATTCCCGCACAAACAACCCTAACCTCCCAAAACAGGTCAATAACCATCTAAGAGGTTTCTACAATTAACATGTTCCCATTGTCACCAGCTCTAGTGTTGCTGCAGAATGCTTGGCCTTTATTTCATACCTGACCATTGCAATATCCAGATTTAGAAAGTTTTTAAAGTGCTTTTTGTTTCTCCCTCGTGAAACAAACCACAAGGACACCGTAACACGAACATGAGAGCTGCTGCAGGTTATGAAGGACTTCGTTTTTCTTGGGTGTGTTAAATCCTCCACCTGCAAGAGACAACGCTGTTGTAGAAAAAGTTCTACATCTGCAAAACATGAATTTGAATGGAAAAAAAAATCTAATTTAAGGAAAATTTCCCATTCACCCATAAAGGCTACAACCATGGAAATATGTAACCGCATCTTTTCCATGTGGAATTGTTTACATGTTTAAGATCTTTAATTTTTTCTGTTAAAATCTTGTCGGTTTCAGGATTTTAGTTTTTCCTGCATCTGTCTTCACATTACGACGTAACAAAACTGAGTTTTAAACCCTATTCTTTCATGACTTTTCCTGTGATTTTGAAGCCACTGATATGAACAAACTATTTACCGCGATCAGAGCGACCAAATATAAATCTTGACTGTGTTTATGACAACCCTGGTCATCTAAAGTCCCTGGCCACTTCTCAGTAGGCATACTTGTCTGAAATTGTGTACTTGTGTTCCAATCCTCAGTACGTATCATATAAAGTACGCATATTGTACCTCGTCATGAATTGTTATGAACAGAAAATGGCAAAGAAGAAAGTTCTAAGTTTTATACGAATTTTTAAGCCTAAAAAATGAATATAAAGTTTTCTATTCTTGTAAATAATTGCCTGTAACCTGTAAAAATTACTGTATTTTTGTTGGACTCTTCACAATAGCAGCTATTTAGCTAACACACTGTCAAAACAAAACCAGTGTTGCCTTTTATTTTTATTTACAGGTCATTATTTGTGCTTGTTGTTTATGAGGTAACGGAGTGCGGGTCTGTTTCAAACACCGTACTCGTACTGCTGCATATTCTGTAGAACAGACTTTCTGCTGTACTTTTCAAGTAAGTACTTTGTTAAATATTTAAGAACACACTTGCGTACTGCCATCTGTTTTAGGTGTCTCCCTGCTCCAACACACCTGATTCAGTGTTGGGTCATAGAGCTCTGCAGAGGCCTGTTGACCACTTCTGAATCAAATCAGGTGTGTTGAAGCAGAGAAGTCTCAATTTTAGACATATACACACTTTCTCACACTAAAGGCTCATTTAAAAGCTCCAATTAAACCCATCCATCCATCCATCTTCGGAACCCGCTTTGTCCACGCAGGGTCGCGGGGGGGCTGGTGCCTATCTCCAGCGGTCGACGGGCAATCAGGCGGTGTACACCCTGGACAGAGAGCCAGTCCATCGCAGGGCAACAGAGACACACACGACAAACAATCATGCACACACACACTCACACCTAAGGACAATTTGGACAGACCAATCAGCCCATGTTTCTGGACTGTGGAAGGAAGCCGGAGTACCCGGAGAGAACCCACGCATGCACAGGGAGAACATGCAAACTCCATGCAGAAAGATCCCAGGCTGGGAAGCGAACCCAGGAACTTCTTGCTACAAGGCAACAGCTCTAACCGCTGTGCCACTGCGCAGCCTTCCAATTAAACCAAATATGTATTTATTGCATCCAAATGTAGTTAAGCAGGTGTGCTAAAGGAAAGAAAATCTCTTTAATTTGAAGGTTTCTGTACTTTAACACACCTGTTTTAAATCAGTCTGTCCCTCTGAGGAACCCAAACACGCAATAAACATTGTTTAGAGAATTCTGCTTCCAGTTTCTCTCCAAGAACTTAACAGGAAGAATACCCACTACACTTTACAGCTATAGTAATTTATTTGGTTTGGTGTCTCAAAAGAGCATTATATCACAGGACTATCAGGCTCATTCTGACCTTTTAATGGCCTTAAAAATACACCTAATATGACTAAATGTGGAAGAAATCCTCTTATTGGCTGTTAGAGGGGCCAGGGAAAAGCATTTCCTGAGATATTTGATTTGAGACTTTGTTAGATTTAGGTGAACCTGGGGGGGGGGGGGGGGGGGTCCTGTTTATTTATTGTGTACTGCCCTCTTGTGGCCTTGAGACGCACTGCTGCTGAGGTTTTGAGGGCAGGAACTGTCCACTTATTATCGGTGTCATAGAAAGTTTGTTTTGGAAATGAAATTTAACAAAACACACGTGTCCATGTTGTTTAAAATTATTTGTTAGTTCTCTTTCTTAACCAAAAGTGTTCAGCTGCGTAATCCTTAGAGAAAACCTTTCAAATCTGCTAATTTTATTCTTAATCTGCAAAATATGAAAATGGTTTATCTGTAATTTTAAAGTGAAATTTCTGCAACTTCAGCTGCTTGCATTTTACTATAAAATAAACACATTTTTTACAGTGTAAAACCAAAATTCACAAAACTTATACAAATTCTATCTACATATTGCAAAAAAAGCAAAAAGAATCATTACAAGGAATAATTACAGAGATCCATCTAACCCGTTATTCATAAAAACAAAAACATTAAAATTCTATGACCTAGTGGACTACAATATTTCTAAATTTATGTATAATGCAAACAAAAGAAACTTCCTAAAAATTTACTTAGAAGATTTATAAAAAGACAGAGTAAATATGAACTAAAAGGACATGAATTATTTATAATACCCCAGCATAGAATAATTAAAGGAGCGCTGTGTCTCTATATATGGAGTTAAAATATGGAATAAGCTAGGTAATGCAATCAAGGATGCGAAAACGATATTTACTTTTAAAAAAACTAATTAAAAATGAAATACTGGAATCAAATACGTGCAAATCAATTATATATATATATATATAAACTAAATAAATAAGTAAAACTATTGAAGATGTGTGTAGGTATATTCATGTGTGTATGTATAAATATGTATGTATGTTTGTTTATGTGTATATGTAGTGGATGTGTGTGTATATCTATATGTATATGTATAAATGAAGTATGTGCGACCATATGGGCATGCAAGTTAGCTAACCAGTCAAGCAATTACTTTGTACAGACCAATTTATAATTATTGTTATTTAATTGTGAAAATGTCATTTTAGTTAAAAAGGGGCAGATAACATAAGTTTTCTTCTTTCTGTTCCCTTTTAATTTTCTTGGTTTGAGAAACCTCATTTTATTTGTTAGCATTGGTTTTTTTCTATTTTAATGATAAATGAAATTTAAAAAAATTATATATATTTTTTTTTTAAGTTAGGTTTCCCTTCACAGCTGCTCCTCTTACTGATGTTCAACTTCCTGTTCGCTTCATTTTTGCTTCAGCAACTAATGAAAATCCTTCAAACCATTGAATTGTCTGGTTTAACTAACAAGACGTCCCAAATCTTCCTAAATCTCAGGATTTTTGTGCAACCTGTAGAAAAACTCTTTGGAAACAGAAAAACAGTTTGTAAAAGGATGAAACAGGCATCGTGTAGATCTAATCACACGCAAAGTGAAACTTCTCATGAACAAACAAAAGCCAGTCGACAGTTGGGTCTAAATCCAGCTTGTCAACTGCTCTGATTTCTCTGCTCCACCCTGATGGACAGAGGAGTTGCTGGTTTAACTGGTCTGAGGAACACTTTCACGCTTTGTCGCTGACTCTCAAACCGCAGCAAGAGGTTGCAGATTATTAATCTGCTGGAGAAGATGCAAAAATCTGATGAAGATTAACCCTGATCGTTACTTAAGAAGGATCAATTTAGAACATTTTATTAATAAAGGTCACAACTACCTTTTAATTTATGTGTTTGTATTAAATTAGACTTAAGAGTTTTTAACCTGGAATGATGCTGGTTTGTTGAGCTATAATATGTATTAGGAGGATAAATGAATATTGGGAATGGTTGGTAATTATGAAGTAAGATTTACTTTTAGCAAATTAGGACTGTTTAACACAAAATGTGTTTTTAAATTACCCAAAGCATGTGGATCAGATCAGATGGTATTTAAATTTTGAAAGTTATGAAATCATTTTAAAATTTCCACTTCTTCGTTGGGTCTCACGCCCCTCAGGCTCAGCGTCTTGGCCTCTGTTCAAGTGAAACTCCCTCTGCAGGCTCTCTGTCTGGGCATGACGCCGTCTCCTCGTCCCTGTCTTGTCTTTTGTGCATACAAGTCCTCAGATTTTTGGAAACTCACGACAAACAGGAGCCTCAGTTTTAGAGAAAATGACACTAAAACCAGCTTTACTGTCAAATAAATTTCAAACTGGCTCGTTTGAACCTGATTGATTTGAGAAAACGAGCCTTCAAAGGAAGAGAGAAGGGGACAAATCACAGATAAAGTCAAGTAAAGGTTGGCCTGAAGACAACAGAAACTCCTGCAGGTACACACACGTCTGCAGAGATCCTGATGAGTGTATCACCACTGAGCAATCAAATCCGGGCCTGAGTGTGTTTGTTTTTGTTATAGATGTCTGATTAATTTGAATAAATATCCCCAAGTGATAAACTTCCATGTTTGTTGCACAGATGAGTAAAAGTGGAGTCTTTTTTTTTATTCTCAGCTGCTTCAACTGCTTCAAACTTTTGCTCGGTGACTCTCTGACCCATGTTGCAACATCTCAAGCAACCAGAATGACATCATAATCCATGCAGCTTCTGCTGAGGACACGGGACCAAACTTT